AGTTCCCTCCTGATACCTTACCACAGAGCATCATTTTTGTGATGAAATAAATCAGTGGAATAGGAGGCCTTGCTAGGTTAGGATTGTACAGTTACAATCTGTAAATTTATGCATAATCATAAACTGACCATAGGGTTTTTCCTTTTTTTTCATAGCAGTGCAGAACTCTGATATAGGCAAAGAATCCCATGATATTGCCTTAAAGGAAGCACAACATGAAAACCAAGATCAACCAACCTCTGAAGTTCCCTTAGAGAATGCTACCTTACTGCAAGAACAAAATAAAAATAACCTGAGGGAGATCACGATTCAAGTTTACCCAGGACATAACTCCACTATATCTCTAGTGAACAATGCAATCCTCACCACTGATGTTGGTACCTTTTCAACACATGTGCCTGCAATCCTAACAGAAGGTGATGCTGAAGATAGTGAAACCCATTATCAAGTTGTTACGACCAGTTCTGCAATGCTTAACCAGGCAGATGGGAACTCTGCACTTGATGTGTTGACATCATCAGCAGACTTTGGTAGGAATGTCATTCTGACAGAACAGCAGCAGGTTCTGCTGAGTGGAATGCTTGTGCCTGGAGTCACAGCAAACCAAGCAATTCAGATAAACATGTCACATGATGCTAATACATGTATTGATGTGAATGAAATTGCCCAGGACAATCAGGTTTGAAAGTGAAACTTCTCTGTGTAAAAGCCACTCCTTTATTGAACAATTAACTCACACTACATCTTTCTGAGCCACTTTTAAGGATTTGATGTAGATCCCCTGTTGATAAGATTTACTTGTATTGACTAAGTGGGGAACTGGAAGGGAAATTGAAAGTATTTAATATAGACCTTGTTGCGCTCAGTCTGTATGTCATGACAAGCACAAAATATTCTCCTGTTAAGCCTGACCTAACTCAGTCTATGAACTTTTATCATATGACTGCCATTCTTTCTCTTTCTCCCTTTTTTTTATGTATTTTGCAACTTGCAGGTCTGAACTTAGGACTGTGTGGTTGTTAACAATGCCACCTGCACTATTGCATACAACACTTGCAATGGGATTTTTTCCATTTTTTTTTTTCTACAAAGCATGTAAGGTGTCATGTGGGTGACAGAATAAATTTTATTAACTGTCATTACTAGAGGGTGACCAATACAGAAATGCATGGCAGACAGGGGAGAACATTGATGTTCAGATAATGGGAGTAAGAGGGTTATACCCATCAGAAGAATTTGAATACTTATCAGTGTTTTTTCTCTTTGTTGTCAATAGGAGGATGAGTGTGTTGATGGGAAGGGGCACCTTTGTCCTCATCCTGGCTGTAATAAAGTCTGTGCCAAAGCTTACAAACTGAAGCTGCATATGCTGTCGCATACAGGGGAAAGGCCTTACAAGGTACAATAAACATTAGTCTGTTTTAGTTTCTGTTCCAGCTTGCTTATGAGTACTAGGGTGCAGCTTGGTACATAACTCTCTAACACTTGAACTCCCATGTGAGTGACCAAGACAGAATTTCTCCATACAATTTCAATATTATATCAAGCAGATAGTTGGTGAGAATAAAACAAAAACCAATTAGAGGATTGTAAGATGATCCAATAGCAAATTCTCCAAAGTAAAAACATGAGATTTGTATGGAGATAGTAAGGAGAATTACTTATGAGATCTTAAGAGTGAAAGGGTTAAGATAGGACATTAGACCAGCACACAATCCAAATGATCCTAGCCTTAAGTTAGGGTCAAGTCACCATTAGGTAGATGCATGCCTCATTTCAGATACAAATTGGCTTGAATCTCATGTCAGACTCCAATCTCTTTATTCCACACTTGACTTATTCCACACTAATGTGAATTGCTATTTTTTAAATGAATTGTACTAGCAATGTAAGTGCATACACATACATGCACATGCTACGTTGAATATCATTTGTAGTTTTAATTTATTGGTTAATTTTGCCATTTTAGTGTCCTCATGAAGGATGTGAGTGGGCATTTACCACAGCATACAAATTAAAAAGGCATGCCAGGGGCCATACTGGAGAAAAACCTTTCCTGGTAAGACTTTTTTTGTCGTTATTCAATGATAGTTTTTGAAATGTTTGAAAACTTGTAATTATTTCATCAGATAACCCTAAAATGTTTCACACTAACAGAGACGAAATGTTGCTGAACTAGAAAATTTTCTAACAAAGAAACAGCAGTCTTGTTTCAATTACAAAGCAGACAGCTGCATCCCTGTAGCAACTACCAGTACAGGTTTATTAACTGCATCCCTGTAGCAATTACCAGTACAGGTTCATTAACATCATGACAGCAGCTGACCTGTATCATTGGCTCTCTCACTCAAGTCACCTACTGCGGTAGCTTGCCATAAATCTGTTCATAATATTTCTCATAACCTGACATAATTTTTGTTTCTATGTTACAGTGTACTCATGAAGGATGTGGAAAATGCTTTACCACTGCTTACAACTTAAAAACACATATGAGGGCGCACTGCAGGACAGACACATTCATGTGTGGTTTTGAAGGATGTGAAAAGACGTTTCCAACAGAGCACAAGTTAAAAGTGCATGAAAGGAAACATGCCGCCGAATACAAACCTTACAGGTGTGAGGTGGAATCATGTGGCAAGATGTTCGCTGCTTTTAGTGCTTTGACCTCACACATGAGAATTCACACAGGCGAAAAATCTCATGGATGTCCTGTAGAGGGATGCGAGAAAAGATTTACTAAAGCATCCAAGTTAAAGTTACACTTGAGGTCACACACAGGAGAGAGACCCTTTCCTTGTGAAGTTCAGGTACAGTTTACCTCCAGCTCTTGTTGTTCGAAGGTTGGATAATGCTATCTACTGGATAAATCTCTATCCATTGGGTAGAGCATTACGCTTTGCTATGTCTTATCTGGTGGATAGCAATTTATCTCAGTATTGGACACATAGCGTTTTCTGTCCTTGATACACTTGGGCCCAGTACTCTTCTTTTTCTCCACAGTTCTAGATAATTTTGAGCCACGTTTGATCCCAATGCACTGACTGTTAGTGGAACCACACGCACACTAGATATCCAACACAATTTTTTTTTCAATTTATCCCTTTATCTCTAAAGGGTTGTGGCTGGTCATTCACAAGTGCCTACAAACTCAAGAGACATATGCGCAAACATACTGGGGAGAGACCTTTTGTGTGCAATTATGAAGGATGTGGTAAATCTTTCACAAGATCAAGTCATCTGAAGACTCACAAGCTTGTTCATACAGGAGAAAAACCTTACATTTGCCCTTTTGATGGTAGGAAACGTTTCAATGAATTATTAAGAGGGATAGAGATGGCCAAGAAATGGCACTCTGACTTTAGGCCGCATCCCTAGGCGAGGTCTTGAGACAGTGTGTCTCAGCGTATATAATTTTACCATGGATATCCCGCTTTGTATGGAATCTTATTTGGTAAAGGGCTAACGCTAAAAGAATCAATTTTAGAAACTCTTTACGGTGGCCAAGTTACATTATCAACTCATTTGATAAACCAGATTATCTTGTCATTATCTTTATTATCTTGTTGGCATTGGTATTGTTGTTCAACAAATATCATGTCTGATCCACAATGAGTACACGCTGTGTTCAACTGACATTCACCTTAACGTTCATTTCATATTTATCTCTTTATTTTAATTTTTTGTTCCGTTTAAAGGATGTAGCAAGGCGTTCACAGCTAGCAGCAGCCTGAATGTGCATATTTGTAAACACACTGGTCAAAAGCCATTCAAATGTAACACAGAAGGCTGCAATAAGACATACACAACGGCTGCTAACTTAAGAGCGCACCAGAAACGGCATGGAAACAAGGCACTAAGAGGTAGGGTGATGAGCTTTCTTGGTAACGTAAAAATGGACGTTCGCAAACTGGGAGGAATTACACGCAGGTTGGGATCTTTTTAACGGAAAGCCTCAGCTTAAAACATCTTCGACTTCTAAATATTATTTTATTTGAATACAAACACGAAAGAGGAGATAATGAACCAACTAGGAACAAAGATGACAACGGATGGGTGGAAAAAAAAAACAAGTGACAAACTTAAAAAATCAAAATATGATACTCTTTAACAGATGAGTATATTTCCAACTTCAGCAATTTCTCTATCATGGATATTCCTTAAGGTGATTCCTCAGAAAAAAAATTATCGAACAGTTTTTTTTTAAACTTTCCTTAAATGTTACCTAACAAACCTCGAAAAATACAATAAAAAGATAGATCACCGTGCATGTTTAAGAGATATAATGGGCCCAACTTACCCCCTTTATACCTGTAATCGCGCGCGTCATTTCATCGCTTCACGATACGTTTTGCTCCAGCTGGAAGCAAGGGTTTTTAAAGTAGCACTCGAAAAAAACTTGATAGGTAGAAAGTCTCGAGGGTATGGAACAATTTGATTTATAATTTGTGGGAAAATTACGCAAATTTAAACGACATGCATGTTATACATCCTTTGAAGGCGCAATATTTCACTTCCCTCAGTCAGGTTTTCTTTTGGAAAAAGGGGATGTAGCGTTCTTCGTTGAACTAACTTAAACAGTAATGATTATTCGCAAAGAAAATCAAAATAATTTCAAACTCGTGATAATACATTTTAAAGACGTATTTTGGTATGACTCGTGCCATCGTCAGGTTATTGTGGCATGCGTCATGCCGAAACAGTTTGTCTTTTAAAAGTATTATCGTGAGTTTGAAATTTAATGCGATTTTCACAAAGTTACGGAAGTATCTACAAGACTTTTCCAAAATGCCAGATAGCAGGCACCTAGAACCTTTTTTTTTCTGCAAAGTGAACTTATCTAGGTTAACAATCACTTTTCACTTAACCTCTCTTCAGCTCTCTTTTTCTCTTCTCAGTTGTTTTTATCTTCCCTTCTCTGGAAACGAGGGAAAACAGATCCGTAGAACTAGTTTCCTATCTGCTACGCCATCTGTGTGGTCTCCTTAGAATGGATTTTCCTCCTTCTTAAACTTGTATGTTGTTATTACCTTGCAGTTGATTTCACAGACTCGTCTCAGGGTGCTTTGGCAGCTGATCTCAGTGCAGTTAGCTGTGGAAGCATTTCGAGTGAAACCGAACCAGAAGTCTTGTATACTACAATCGGCGCTTTTCATTCAAGTAATTTTAGCTTAGAGGATGCCACGAGACTTTCATCTGTAGGTGTCCATTTACCATCGAGTGCCCTGTGTGCCCTGGTTACTTCCACAGGGCACCCACTCGTCTCACCTACCACCGAAGTAGTCCTGGAAACTGAGAAGAAGCATGCAGATGACGGAGAGATAAAAACAATTTCAGGAATCCAAGTACCCGTTCAACAAGAGCAGTTTGTTACTGAGAGTTTAGAGAGCACCTCTAAGATAGATGTGTCTGAGTTTGTGGGAAGAAGCACAAATGATGATCAAGACTCTATTTCTCATCATCCTGTCCAAGCAAGAGCTGAAATGATTGGAGGAACAGTTTTGGAAGGAAACAAGCTCACTGGCGGGTTTGACTTGTGTATAACCAGCATGATGAGTCATATAACAAGTGAGGCAGGTCAGGAAGGATCAGGAACTACCACAAAAACTTTACATGCTAGTGCCTCTAGTAAAAGATCGCGAAGTCTTGATTTCAGAGATGTGCACCCGGAGGACCAGTTTGCCCCACCTGCTGTTATATTTCAGGTTAGTTATCTTTTCTCGCCGTTCTTTATAAAGCACTTTTCGATTGAGTGTCGTAAAACCAGAACCAAAGTGATCACAACGGCCAGTCAGAACAAAAAATTATATAACCAGAGCCAAGTTCGAGCTTGAAGTGAAAACATATAAATTTCTTGAAGCGCGGGAAAACGCCAATGATCAAGTCGGGATTCTTTTTAGTTTTGCATTGGTGGAGAGGGTTGCACGTATTTTGTGGACCAATCACAGGGGAAAGTAAAGCAAACCAATGCAATTCCAAATCCATTTCGACGCTTAGTTGAAAACTTGCTCTATTTCTGAGTATGATTGATGTAGCTCGAAAGGTTTCCGGATTTCTATTCTCGAATAAACGTGCGGAACGCTTCGAGGAATTTTGGACAGAAGAATTTTGTAACACCCAGGAATTAATATCAACCACTTTCAATTGTGTTCAATTTTGTTTTTATTTATTTTGCTTTTGTTATTTATTTATTTATTTTTCATTCTCATTGAGAATACAATAAGCAATCATAGGATGAGGTTGCGCAGGATATCGTAAATTATAAAAACCGAGGTCTGAGTTATTCGCCGAAGCAGATAGCTGTCCATTCGTAGAATGGAATTTTCCATGGCGGAACTTAGAATGTTTTCCTTTCGGTTAGAAGTCAATACGGACATCCGATGATAGAACAATGTATTCCTCATCGCTTGGTTTCTTTCTTTAGGATGAAGTCAAGTCTTCAGACACCGAGAATGAAGCTGAGGTATTAGTGGCCCAAATCCAACGATCCCCGGAGGGTGTTTCCACAGTACGACTCCCTAAGGAGTCGCTGCAGATCAATTTACCCCAGGGGTTAATAACTGACCCGTCGGCGGTAACTATGGTTCATATGTCTGGTACAGAACACATGGAGGTAGACAGCAATGATACCACATCTCATGTAACAGCACACGATGTGTCCTCGGATATTTCTCTAGTACCCATTTCTTCTCTCACAGATGTAGCTGATGAAAGAAGAAGTCTTGGAAAAGGGGACCTGTCCCCTTATTTGGACAACCACAGCTCGTCAGAACAAGATGAAGGCAACGGTGATACTTACCCAGAAAGTACAATTAACTTACAAGATCTGCGTTGATAAAGAAAGGAGGAAACTGTGAAAGAAAAGCAGCACCTAATTAAACTAATGCAAATAAATTTTGATACTAAATAAATAAATGTACAGAATTCCAATATATAATACGTGGTTATTTGAGTAGAAATAACTTATTTTAACACAGTTTCTGAAGAAACTTTTTTGTCACAAGAGAGAATTTTCAGTGCTGGAACAAATTGTTTGGCGTTGCTTCTCGAGGGGATCATAGTGAACTGCGATATCACCGAGGTACTTTTGGGCGGGTGCAAAACGGTTATCCTTACTTCAACAGATCTTTCACTGCATCCTCAGTCCCACTGGCTTAAACCTGAAGGCTTACTAATACGATTCGGCTTATTCATTCAAGTTACACGTTCACTAGGTCATTCTATTATTCATTCAGGTGATACGTCAAATTAAGACTGAGTAGGAGAATCATTAGGCGAAAGTCACATCGACAAAAACTCTTGTCTTTGCGATCGCTGCAACAAGTCGCACTTATTTGACCCCTGGTGTGTCCTCATCTGACCAACCAGGAAGTGCACACAAACTATTTTAAATAGCTCTTTGTTATACTGTTAAGGCGGTATAACGGTAGCCACTAATCTTGGTCTTCGCCATACGCGCTTCTGTGACGGCTGTCACTCAACAGAACTTGGTCACTGCTAAATCAGCTAAATCAGCCAAACTTTTCAGAAAAAATGTTAAAAGTCAAATTATTTTTCCCTCGATGGTGCTACCCTGTTTAATCCGAATCAGAAACAGAGGATACAATGTATATGCTTTACGGGTAACACACTCAATAATTTTTTCACTATCGTTCGACCGCGAGAAATCCTGGAAACTAGTTGCCTTGCTATATGTGTCGTGTAAAAATAACACGATGTCGCGTTTCAACAGAATAGGACTCTTCGTGACGAGAATATAAAGCACTTTCTCGCTTCAAGCCACAGTTTATTAAAAAAAGAAGTACTTTGGCTCGTCATAATGGGGTCTGAAGTTGATTGTTCCGGAGTATCGAGAGCAGTTTGGCTTGTGAAGGTAAAGTTGGTATAATTTAAACACTTTCAGACTTGTGTAGAAATCTTGTTTTCCATGTGACATCAAGGGCAGATAGTTGGAGAAACGGTTTCCATGTTAGTTCATAATATCATTTTAATGTGATATACTTACTGGATTAACTGTTTTCTTCGTTCAGGTACCAAAATATCTGTCTAACATTTGGATGGACAACACTGATGCTTCTGGAATCGTGGGAAGTCTTCAGATAAGCAAGTAAGATGGCAACTTCCGGCCGGTTCATTTTTCAAGAGGAACGTTTAAATTGATTCAATTCAACTTAAGATGATTCACATTTAAATGTTGCCTATTCTAGTGATTATTTGATAGAAATCGATACTCCACTTTAAACGGTATAGACTTTGATATCTTGGGGATCACAAACAGTATTTGAAGAAAATTAGTTTTGTATTTTAATTAGTATAATTCAGTTGTAGAACCCACATCATATGATAAGCTGAATTACGCACTCATTTTAAGTGGTTGTTGTTACATGATCAATTGAAGCACAGATGCCTAGATCACCTCCCTATTAATAATACTTTAATAATACTTTATTATATAAAGTAAATAGATTCTATATTGCTGTGGGTCTGTACTGAAATAGATCACAGTAAACAGGTGGCTGCCCTTTACATGCCATGATTTTGTTCTCACCACCTTTTCATGTCACCTGTGATCTATTGCTGAACAAACGTACAAGAACATGGAATCTATTTGCTAAATGAAACATGCCAATGATACAAAAATTGATTAATAATTGTTACTCACAACATATTCCTTTGAAAATTGGTATCTATTTCTAACAAAATTCTTTATTTCTTTCAAAAGTTATTGATCATAGATTTTGTCAGTTGAGCATGTCCTGAATTAACTTTTTTGACTACATTTACAACATAATAAATCTTGCTTTAAAGCTTATGAAACTGCTTCTTTTATCAACAGCAATCCTCAGAGAAATGAGGTATGTGGTAGATTATCCATGTTCTAGTTTTTCTAGCAAGTGATATTATTATGTACCAATAAAAAATTTGGTAATGATTATGATAATGATTATTTTATAAAAATGTGAAGGAAGCTCTCATCTTGTAAATGAGTTTTAGAAGTCTGGCAAATGGTATGAATATGGGTAATTATTAAAAGAGGTTTTAAGTAATGTGTTAAATATCTGCATTCACATTGAAAGGATCTTTCCTCTTTATGTCCCAGTCCCTCTCAGGTTACCCCCTTCTCAGTCCTCTGTTCCCTTGGGAGTAAAGAAAGGGAGGGACCCAGTAAATGAGGTTGACATGGGTGTTAGGCCAGATTCCAGAAAAAAGATGAGCACTAGTAACTGATGTATTGAATAATTATCAGACTACAAACGATTTATCTTCAAATCCAAAGTCATCTTAAAAGCATGAATATGTTTTTATATATCTTTGTGTCCTCCCACATTGTTGGTGAGGGAAAAGCTAATCAGTAATTTTTTTTTCAACTAGTTTGGTTGCATGTTTCAGGTGGCATTTAATCTGTCAGATGCATTGGCAAATAAGGAAGACAACTCCAACAAAGATGGCCAAGACAGTACAAATAAAGACGGAATAGGCAGCTTCAAGGTTCCCAGGGAGTACAAGATGGTTTTATCTAAAGTCGAACAGTCAATGGGAGTGTTTTCAGAAGGACCAGGAGGTTATATTTTAAGATAGAATGCAAAATGTCCTCATGACCCCTCACCCCCAAGATCTAAAAACCAACTCTGTGCAGTTTGGTGGATATTTCTTTTAATTTTTGTATTTAAAAATTTGGTCTCTGGTGAAGCCACATGACATGAGTATTGTTGATTGGCAGAAGTTAAAGTTCGAATGAAGCAATAGCAATCATTTCTGATAAATACTCGCATGTTTAAATTGTACATTATTTTTCCATCAATGCTCAGACACTCTAAAATGTTCTCATCTATTCATTCAAAATAATGTAATTCTATGGTCAAGTACGGAGGCGTGGTGGCCTCATGGTTAGTGCGCTCGACTCCTGATCAAGTGGTCCGAGTTCAAGCCTTGGCCAGGGTCATTGTGTTGTGTTCTTAGGCAAGACACTTTACTCTCACAGTGCTTCTCTTCACCCAGGTGTACAAATGAGTACTAGCAAATATGCTGGGGGCAACCCTGCGATGGACTAACATCCCATCCAGGGGGGAGTAGCAATACTCCTAGCCGCTTCATGCGAAGGAAACCAGAGTTAAGCACTGGCCCCATGGGCCACTTAGGCCTGTATAAAGGATTTTCTTTACTTTTTTACTATGGTCAAATATTGCTTTTCTTTCTCTCAGCCTCAGTGGAAGATGATGAAGAAGAAAAAAAACCTAAAAAAAGTGAGTAACAACATTGTCTTAAATATCCTGGGTGTTTAATGATGTTTCAGTTGATCATGAATGATAAACCAATTAATACTGAGGCTATTGAACCCTCAAACTCCCAGAAGTGACAAACATGTAACTTTTCCCTATAATATCCATACATTATCCAGCAAACAGGTAATAAGTATACTCAAACAGGTAGAAATTGTTATCTTGTACTAACACCAAATTTTTATAACTAATTTTCAAGGAAATGTGTAGCAGCTAAAGGGAGAATTAGCAATCAGATCTTGGGAGTTAAAAGGTTGACCCTTTAACTCCCAGAAGTGATTAACATAAAACTTCTCCCTACAATATTCATACATTCTTCAGCAAACAGGTGATCAGAATATTCAAACTTATCAGGTAGAAGCTGCAATCTTGATCTAGCACCAAGTTCTCATAACTAATTTACAAGGAAATGTGTAGCAGCTACAGGGGGAGAATTAACAATCAGATCTTGGGAGCTAAAGGGTTAAGGGACTTAAAAAAAGTCTTTAAAACAGTCTCTTGAAAGTTAAACAAGAAAAAGATCTGGTCTGTCATCACAACCTTGGGATTCCACACTCTCTTTTGTCACATCATTGGGACAGTCAAGGAAAAACCATCTTTCTGTAAAAATTCCGAGTTTGTGTTTGATTAACTTCCAACAGCCAGCATCTTAGCTATTGATTATCACATAGCACTTATTTTTCTGCAGGTCAGGTCACTATTGAAGGAGTACTTGTACAGAAAGCTGACTGTCGGCCAATTCAGCCTAGTGCTGACTACCTGAGTTTGAAAAAGTAAGCACTTTTTCCACATGCATAGATGTGTGTGGTTAAACAGTTTAATTCCAACATTTGTGGTCCATAACTTTGTGGACAGAGTTACTATTGGCTCCTCGTGATTTTCCCTTTATTCTGATTGGCCACTGCAAGTAGTAACTTAATAGTTTCAAATTGTAACACTCAATCACTAAGAACTCCTACTAGAGGAAGAGGTTACCCACATGTTATTGTAACAAAAGAGTCCTGTATAGTCATCATGCGTCATGATTGCAACATTGTTGTGCTATTTTTTTTACTTATTTACCAGGAGGACAATTGTTAATAAAAGTAAATCAGGACGGCAAGCCATACAGGTTGACCGTGTTATTAAATATCGTCCAGTGTCTGACCACAAGGCTAATGTGAGTACTCTAATTTTTTTCAAAATTTCTTTTTAATCACAATGGTATGCGTACACTTTGCAATACTAAACATGCTCATGATATACTAGAGTGAAAGAGTAAGAGTTGTATCTCAGGTTATCCTTGCAACTTGGAAACAAGTCTCAAATCACTTTTTTTTTTCCACTGATCAAATTTTTTATGCAATTTTCTCAGACTCACTTCCTTTTGGAAGAACTATTCAATTCAATGTTCTCCAGTCTGCCTATTCAAAGTTCCCTTTCCTCACAGATTGAACACGAAAAGAAAAAGAAAGAAGAAGGAAAGAGAGCTCGAGAAGATGAAGATGTTGTCAAAGCGTTGCTTTTCAATGCATTTGAAAGACATCAATACTATAACTTGAAGGACCTCATAACTATCACAAAACAACCAGTGGTGAGTGACTAAAAACAAATTTCTCCTCACAATACTCACACATTTTCAAGTAAAAGTCTCAAAACAAAAGTGATGAGAAATGCATGGAGAATAGTGTAGAGAATTGATATTTTAATCTGGGGAGTGAAAGGGTTCAAGACATTTTGGTCATTGAGGAATAATTATGGTATGAAACATGCAAAACAGTTTCCCACAAAGGCTCTGAGGGAAATTGGAAAGGGGGGTGGGAAGGGTGGGAAGGTAGGTCATTTGCGTCATTATTATGTTTTTGAACTCCTGATTTAGGTGTCAGGGATTGGTTGTTCAAAGCTTGGTTAGAATGACCCAAGGATTGGTTTGAAATCTAATTTCAGATCTGAAAGTTTTAAGAAAAAAATTCAGCATAATTCCTCTTTTCTCTGGAATGTGATTATTGGATGCTCTAAACTGAATGGAGAAAATTATCCCACAAAGGCTTTTGAGCAAAGGAATAGAGAAACCCAGATTAAAATCTGACCCTAGGTTAATGCTAATCAGCCTTCAAATAACTAGACCCTGGAATCAATGATATGTCTTCATTACTTTGTTTTTATTAGAAGTATTTTTATTATTATCAATCAATGTCAGTATCTGAGTAACTCCACCCACCCCTCCCCCTCCCCTAACCCAACAACAGTCAACTGTTAACAGACAGAAGTTAATGTTGGTTTAAGGGGGGGGGGGGGGGGGGGGGGGTAGGTGGACACTCTCTCAAATAATGAAATTGATTCATCATCATCATTATTATTATTATTATTATTATCATCATTGTTATTATTACAATTTCGTTAATGACGTTCACTTTTTTTGTTCTGCTTTTTGTTATGGTTGGATGGTTTTTACCATCAGTAACACAAGTAACGTTGATTTTCATGTCTGAAGAATGTCTACCCCTTACTTAATCACAAGTGCAAATATTTTGGAGATGACTTTTAACTCGGTTAAAAATTGTTCCTTGTTATTGATCTGACAAGAACCGATCTCCTTGTTCTTGTAGGCATATCTAAAGAGTATATTGAAAGAGATTGGACATTATAACACGAAAAATCCTCACAAAAATATGTGGGAGTTAAAGCCTGAGTACAGACATTACAGCAACAAGAACAGCGATGATAATGGAAAGGAAGGAACAAGTTCGTAAACAAATTTAGCCATTTAGACTCACGTGCAAGCGACAAGAGGTGAGGGCCCCAACAGCGTAGATGCAACGGGATCTGAAAAAAGCTCAAGAGACATCTGAAGTATGGGTAGTTGTTTTCCGTTGCAGGCCTCGTCTACGCAGTGTTTATATTTTAAAAGGGAACACAAGTTTTCCGTTTTCACAGGAAAACGGATTTTTAAAACGTTATTGTCAACTCTTCAGTGAGCCCACCGGCGGCTCGAACGCTTGAATGTACCTTCGAGCATGCCCACAACGATCATCTAATTCTCCCGGGAATCATTACAAAGAGCAGGGACTTTCGTAATTTCAGAACGTGCCGTTTTCAGTGGATAATTTGTCCAGTTTAGTCTAGGCAATACGGCCAACCGAATAAAAATAAAGGTGTGTTTTCAGATGTTTTAATTGCAGCGGACTTCAACGACATCGTATCCAATAGAAGAAAGAGGGAAAGTTTCTGTGGTGCTGTGTCGGTGGGGGGGTTTATTTAATTTTATTAAGTGACTTGATAATTAAAACTGGCCAAGAGTTGGTAAAGAGTTTCTAAAGCTGAAGTTTTGAGCGATTTCTGCTCGTCAGAGTGAATGATTGCATCCATAGATTCACTTTGCGAATATCTCCCATTATATTTTAGACAGCCTTATAATCAGTGCCTCTTGAGCGCACGTCTAGTTGACTCGCTTTCTCGCCTAAAATGTTGCTTTACCTTCTAGAAAGCGTTTGACAAATGACTCTCGATTCTGATCCACGTTGATGAAGGATTCTCAATGCCTTGTTGTTTTGATATTGTGTTACAACTGTGTACAAATTATGTACACTGCGAATTGTGGATCACTTTGCTAAGATAGTCAAACTCTTACAAGGAAACAAAGTTCGAATTACAATGACCACAATTGGTGAAAAAGGTTAAAATATTTTAAATCAATTACCTTGACTTCATTGTAAAGTGTCTAATGACACAAATTATCGATAAATTCACAGTTTTACACAGCTTTAGTTAGTACTACTTTTAAATATACGACTTAACTACTAGAACAACAGTAACGGACTCCTCTATTGTCTGTCTCATTTCATCTTTCAGCAGTAAATCTAGAGGAACGGGTTTAGACTTGAATTTAGGAACGCAAGGGATGCGTTGCATCTTAAAGCAACCTTACCTGATACGTCACTGAGGGAGAAAAGAAATACTAAAGGTCTCACTAAAGCTTGTGGAAGATAACAGACGACCATAATATGTAGACTGACGGTGCTGCACATACAGTTCTAAAGTACTTTGCTATGTTAAGTAGAGTTCCAACTTCGTTCGCTACTCTTGAAGATTACCTTGTATGTGAACTTAATGACTGCAAAGGTTTAGAAAGATCTTTATGTAGCAACAAGCCCATATTGTTCAACAGATTATGACATTTAGAGGTACAACTTTTGAAACCACTATGAAATTTTTTTCTGTCCGAATGCTATCCATAAGAGATAAAGCCGCCCATAGGAACCAAAAACTGCGTGAAACTTTACTGACTCGCCTCAGTGTTACAGCCTGTCTGTGTCGCAGGCCAAGCGAGAAGTCTGCCCACGCTAATTGCGGTAACTGTCATTAAGGACACCCCACTGAAAACTTAAGCTGTGAGGCGTTCTGATCTTTGAATTTTGGTTAACATTTGCATCTGTTCGTTTATGTGGGAAGTTAACATGGCGGCAAACATAAGCTAAGTAATGAGCATGATGGCGGATGAAGGGAAGACTCCTTGTGAGGAGCAATGAGGACCAGGACCTTTCCTAACGACGTAGGGATGAACAGGAAAAAGTTCAGCGCTGCCGAAGATATAACGTGGCCTTGCAAGTCATATACATCAGGAGAAAATATATTACGCCCTCGCACAGCATGTGCTCTTCATTTCTAGAGGGGTTCGTCTTTCTCGCAGTCTCAAAATAGTAAATTTTACAAGGTTTTGTTATTCAGTGCTGCAAATAAAGTTTTTTAGTATTTTGCTATGTTTAGAAACACCTCTTGCGTTTGGCTCTCCTGGTTTAGGCTGGCTTTGTCTAACAGCTTGATAATGGCTGAGGCGAAACAGATTCTCGTGTAAGTATAAGCAGAATTAAATTATCAAGTAGAGAGCGGTTACCATTGTCATTACGACTCCAAAGACGAATTCCCACAGGCGTCACCTCCACTCAATAACCAACAGCAGCTCAAAACTGCACCAACTCGCCTCATTGTCACAACTTGTTTGTACCTCAGGCCCAGCAACAGAACTAGAGGTCAGCCGACACTTACTGCGGTTGCTGTCATTAGAGATAATGTAAAGAGTGAATGTAAAACATCCGTAAGGGTCATATAGTAGTTTACCAAAGGCTGCCAGGTAGGCTGACTTATAGAGCGCGCTATATGTGTATACTGAGATGGTTGTGTAAATTTTCATTTGCATTTGTTATCATGACACTCGTCGCACGTCTCTCCCCAATTATAGTCATTACAGTTTCCCGAACCTCTCACAGTCCGGTATTCTGGGGGCTCCGCTTACGTTTCGAGGAAGTACTCGTCATTGCTTTGCGTTTTTGACAACATTTAGTCTCAGTCACCTTGATGATCCAACCGGTTTCGGAGCTTTTAGAGCTATGCAATTAAATTCGTTCTTTTCCTATGCATATCGTGCAAATCATAAGGGTAACGTCTTTTTAGCTAAATTTGAATTATTTTCGAGAAATTAGTCTCTAATAACATGGTCTGGTTGACTGAGTAGGAGGGCTGGACGAGGGAGCATTTGGCTGAGGGTCATGACGTACGGACTGAGCGCTGCGAGGTATGTGCATCATCATGATGAACGAGAGCCAAATATTTAATACGACACTATAGAGCAGCGCAGGCCAACCACAAAAAAGATTCCACAAGAAAAGAAAACTTTTCCTTTTATTTTTCCGAGTCAAACCACGAAACTCACTATTCGTCGAAAAACGTGACTTTTCAGTTTTCTTACGTCTGTTATCCTTCACGTTTTTCTTCTTTTAGCAACAAAGCCGTACGAGTGCAGGACCAAAGAGCTTTTTCCGGACTAATTACCGAAGATATATCAATTATAACCAGGATGAGGACAACAGCGATCACAAGGAAAGTAGAAATGAAATCAGGTAACTTTATTTGGTATTACCAACTGAGTTAATTTTCCCTTCGCATTCCCTTTGATGTGAATCAGTGAAAGTCTCAGTAGATAGCTAGTCAAATGAATACTCTTTTCAGATCGATAAATTTATTGTTATGTTTCATGTTAAAATGTTGCCACAAGTCCACCTTCCAGGAAATTCATCGATTTGCGAACATGAGAGAATACTATGTTTAAAAAACGTATCTCAGTACCACTTTATGTTACCAATAACAACATGAACTCAACTTTAAACTTAAGAGAAAACTTGCTTGATTTTTGGAATGAATTTCTCTAATTTACAAATGAATTCCAGGCTTTTTTTCTAGGCTTCTACAAATATCTTCATCGACACATTTTAAGTCTCTCCTCATTTTCAAGTTTGAGATATGATATCATGCTTCTACAGCTTGTCTTCGATTATGATAAAGTTTGGACATAGCGCGCACTATCACTGGTTGAAAGAGCGCGCTCTATCAGAGTACAAAATACGAATAATTTAGTTTTATAAACTGAGTTAATAACTTAAATTGGCCACCGTAAAGAGTTACAAAGCTGACGTTTCGAGCGTTAGCCCTTCGTTAGAGCAAATAGAAGAATTGTGGGTTGTGTGTGTGTTTATATGCAGAAAACGGAGCTACGCTATTGGTGGGAGTATGGCGACCAGAAAACAAAAATAAATTAGTTGAATGATAAGCGCTCGTTGATACCGTAGGGATTTAGAGTATTAATTTGAAAGATAAAGTTTTGTTTTAGAGTTTTGCGGCTTTCCGAACTGCCTAGATGTAGGGAAAGGCCGCAAACTACCATATGCTGCACAGAATGATTAGGGAGATTAAAGAGTCTAGCGACTGGTTTGGATGCGTTCTTGTCATTTCTTTCTACGTCGCGAAGGTGTCCTCGGAATCGGTCACCTAGTCTTCCTGTGGTTCATTCCCATGGTCTGATGCGAGTCCCTTGAGAGCCGTATTTTTGATATGGAGTTATTTATCGTTATAGGTTATAAACTGTGAATATCTTAACTGCACCCTTTTGGCTGACTGGAGGATGAGAACGAGGGTAGAGGCTGCAGTCCACGGATTTCTCAGACAAGCATCGTCAAGAAAGGCCCCAACTTTGCTCTCCAGCAATTTCAACGTACCCTTGAGAAATCTGACAGGAAAGCAGCCGACGTAGGTAGAGGAAAAAAAGACGACTGACACGGTGATCAAGAAAGCATAACCTTTCATACTACAATTCATTATATATTGATTTCAAAATATTGCTAATCCACCCCTCTTAAGCCAAAATAGAACGATTGGTTGGTGCACACCGATTCGACGTTTCATTCCCACTACATCGAGGTTGTTACGTCATCGGCCATGTGGGCTTTAGCGCCGTTTTGCAATTATGAAATTCTCATTTTGCTTAACGTAGCGTTTCGGAAAGACTTACTCTTGAAGACGCCCAAAGATTCTCCTTGTGTTACAGGATAAGATATGTCTTGGCAAGCTTACGTGGACACCAACCTAATCGGTACAGGAAAAGTTCAGAGAGCAGCCATATTTGGCCACGACGGTTCGTGCTGGGCTACCAGCGAGGGATTCTCGGTAAGTGGTTATAACAAAAGAGCCTTAGAGGAGCTATGAAACAGAAACTGACTGAAAACGTCAAGCTTAATTGATTGTTCATCGATTATCTAACAAATGTGAAAATATCTTTGGTAGGTATCTCAGGCGGAAGCACAAGAGATAAAGATCCTAAACGATGGTAGTGTCGCGGGCAAGTTCGTTGCTGGAACGAAATACATGATGCTGCGCAACGACGCGGCAAATAAAACAGCTTACTTGAAAGAGGAAAACGTAGGAGGCTTTACCACTTGTTTGACCAAACAGTCCTTAGTTATTGGTGGCTATGATGAAAGTGCTGGTGGTGCTGGAAATTGCAAAACAGTTGTGGAAGGCTTTGCACAATATCTAAAAGAGTCAGGATATTAAATGTTTGAATACCTTAAAACACAATCTAAGGCGTGGAACACTAATAGCACTATTTTGAGATAGTATTTCTATCCCGAACTCCTTAGTCCGGAGATTTGCACTTTCCTTAAGCGTATTAGAATATAATCAGTATTTCTTCTTTCGGTAAGAGGAGGATTGCCACAGACAAGGAAAATAAAAAAAAACACAGTAGACTACCCATGCAAGTATTATTGTTTTTTTTTTTGTTTGGCAATGGCAATCGAGAGATAACTGAAATTCCCCGCGAGGTAGATCAGGAGTAGACTATAATAGCAACGAGACGAATATGACGGCTGAAACTTCTAGGCATTATTTTCGCTTGTTTCGTTCCGTTTTGCAGTTTCGGGTTTCAGAACTGCCGAGAATTTCGTGGAAAATTGAATAACAGTGGCATTTTTCTCCATGTAATTTTTCTAAATTGATGGGGTAGGATTATATATATCGTAAACTTTTTTGGTTGTCTACTGGGAAATGTCATGTAACGGGGCAAAGCCTAATCACTAGTGACAAGTACCCACGTACGCACGGACGACGGTCAAATGCCGGGGGGGGGGGGTATATTGAAACTTCAAATTGTTCGGCGCATAATAGGATTGGTAATTAGAGTAGTTATCTCAGCGACCAATCAGAACATAGGTGAAAACGCAAATAGCTTAGTCGCGACTGTTTCTAGTCTTGCATCTGATTGGGTAATTTAGTATTATCAACTGGGTTGATAAAGTAAATTGGCCACCGTAATGATTTTCCAACGTTGGCCCCTCCTTAGAGGCAATGGAGGAATTGTGCATGAGGTGTGTTTGTGTTTAATCAGTGACTGCAAGGCAACGTTACAGCAACTTAAATGGCGGATGAAGGGAAGACTCCTTGGGAAGCAAGACCAGGATGATGAAATTTCCCACAGATGCAGGGACGGATAGAAAACTGTTTAAAGCAGCGAGAGCTCTACTGTGGTAAAGTCCACGTACATCGTAATTTGTACGTCTTAATTTGCAAATGAGGGTTGCAGAGATCACCAGAGAATATTGGACCCGGAATCTAACAACTCTTTGGACTACCTTATTCCAACCAAACATCGGGGTAAAATAACAATTACAGCAGTCAACTGTCAAAAAAAAATTGTCAAAAAAGAGAAAGCTACTTACAATTCTTTAAGGCGTTATTCCCGAGTCACGAGATTTTCCCTTGTATTTTGGTAAGGAAAACGTTTCTGACAATAAACAACGGCAGCTGAGAAAGATTGTTTTCCTTCCTCTCGTGCCCCGTCTCTCGGCGTCTTCTAGCAATGATCGACTTACCTAATAAAGGGGAACGAGGATTCCCGCCTTAACTCGAGTTAACTTCGTATTTGAAGAGTGCAAAACACATTGGACCACACGGACGAGTGGCTTGGGAACTAGGCTAACTTTGAACTCGACATGATAAATGCATAAAAATGCATAAAACGCCGAAGATA